TTTATTTATTTATTTATTTATTTTTCAACATTTTATTAGGGGCTCATACAACTGTTATCCCAATCCATACACACATCAATTGTATAAAGCGCATTTGTACATCGTTTCTCAAAACATTTTCTCTCCACTTAAATCCCCGACATTAGGTCCTCATTTTTCCCCTCCCTCCCCACTCCCCCTTCCCTCACGAGCCCTTGATAGTTTATAAATGGGTATTTTGTCATATCTTGCCCTGTCCAACGTCTCCCTTCATCCACTTTTCGGTTGTCTGTCCCCCAGGGAGGAGGTCACACACAGTTCCATGTAATCGGTTCCCTCCTTCCTACACATTCTCCCTTTACCCTCCCTGTTTTGCCACTCACACCACTGGTCCTATAGGGCTCATCCGTCCTGGATTCCCTGTATTTTCAGTTCCTATCTGTACCAGTGTACCTCCTCTGGTCTAGCCAGTCTTGCAAGATAGAATTCGAGTCATGGTAGTGGGAGTGGGGAGGAAACCTTTAGGAACTAGAGGCAAGTTGTATTTCTCATCGTTGTTACATCGCACCCTGACTGGCTCATCTCCTCCCCGAGACCCCTCTGCAAGGGGATCTCCAGTGGCCTACTAATGGGCTCTGGATCTCCACTCCGTTCATGGGGTAATTTTCAAAGGTAAAATGTCAGGTCTGCTTAGAGCTTCCTAGTCTGTCTTAATCTGTCTGCAGCTCCTCTAACGTCTGTCCACCATGGATGATGCCCCAGCTGGTATTGCAAATACTAGTGGCACAGCTTCTCGCAAAACATCAACTTGTAACCACCACTGTGTAACAAATTGACAGCTAGGCGATGGAGGTGGCTGTAACTTCTCACTTGATTTACCAACACATTCCACAGCATCTGTCCAAATAACAGTAAAAATGTCATACCCCATCTTTATCATGTATGCTATTCCCATTAGCAAAGGAAGAAACCCAACAACTATGGAATACTTAGGAGCCCTGGTGGCTCACTGCTTAGGCAATTGGTTACGGATCAAAAAGGTCAGTCATTTGATCTTTGACCACTACTTGCTCTGCTCCATTGGAGAAAAATGTTGCAGTTGGCTTTCCTCAAGGTTTTAGCCTTGAAAGCCCTCGGGGGCAGGTTGGTGATGTCCTATAGTGTCACCATGAGTCAGAATCAAGTCAATGGCAATGGTTCCTGTTTCCTTTTTTGGTATGGTACATTTGTGATTGTATCCCCTGGATTGTTGATTTTATTCCCAACAGGAAAGAATTTTGTTTTGATTAGACTTCAACAAGAACGCAATCCTCTGCTTGTGTGCACATGCTGATGTGAGGGAATTTTCACAGACTGACTTCTAGATATGGGAACCCTGGTCTCTTCTTCCGCACCCACATACTTTGAGTGTCGAGCAGCGTGGGACATGATCCTGTCTCAGAACAACTCATGGTGCTGATGAGTTAGCGCACCGGGCAGTTGGAATATTCCGGGAAGCCATATAGCTAGCAATCATGTGACTCTGCCTTCATCTCTTGGAGTCCACCCTGTTCTCACTCCACTCCAGCCTCCTCAGCCACCTGCGGTTTCTGGGTTTGGCCAGGCAGCCTCCTAGAGGCCTACACATCTGCCATTCATGCCACTGGGCCCTCTCTCCACTAAGTGTTCCCATGGTTCCCTTGCTCACCTTTTCAGGAAACCTGGCTTGACCTCCATATTTTACAATGCAACCCACCCCCAACCCTACTGCTGTCGTTCCCTCGTGCTTTTGTGTTCTGACCACAGGACGTACCGCTCTTCCAAAGTATACTTTGCTTTGTGTATTGTCCCCTTCTCTAGAGGGTTAGCTTTCTGAAGGTGCCAGTCTTTGTTTTAGTCATTGCTGTATCACAGTGCTTAGAACACAACCACTAACTTCCAATAAACACAGTGGTCTCTGCCTTCAACATCTGGCCTCTAGTTCCATCAGAAGCTGGCAGGACCCCCCTCTGAGAAAGAGCCGTGGAAGTACAATGACTGAATTTGTACAATTACCAAAAGGCCGGTTTCCCCAGAAATCAAGAACAAGGGTAAAATGGTGACTGGCTTTTCGAGCATTTGAGCGAGTCATGCTTTCACGAAGAGCTATTTTCTTGTGAAGTGAATCACTAAAAAAATTTGGCTGCTGAACTGTAACCTTCTTCTGCAACTTCTCTCCCGGTCCCCAAAGATGTACTCCAGGGTCATTGTGGTATTAATAGGAAATTGCCAAATCATATCAAATAATTTCTCTTCCCAGTTCAAGGGGGAAAAAGGCCCAAGTAAAAAGAAAAAGAAAATGGAGACCTTTGACACGCTTGTTCTTGCTTCTCTTTTCTCCATTTTCATTTTTCTTTCTCCTTTTGACTTAAGAGATAAAACCAAAAAACACAACAGAAATATGACAGAAAAGTAAGAGCATCCTACTTTGTCAGCACCAAGGAAGGAAATAGTTTTCATAAATAGAAAAAATTTTAACAAAATTTCAAAAAAGGTTTCCTCCCCCCAGAAAAGAGAAAATGATCTATTTCTCTTATAATTTTCAACTGTCTGCAGAGGGCAATTTTCTAGATGTGGGAAAATGGAGTAAAAAGTGGTATCTCCTTTCAAAGTGGTAATAAAATAGCTCTCCATTAGGTTTATAATGCTGCTGGGAAAATATGAGAGTAATCTTTTCAACACACACTCCCCAGCACTTGATATTACAATTTTTGAAGTTTTCTAATTGGGTATTTTAAATGCTTTATGTTTTAATAGGTATTTTTCCTCTATTTCCTTAGATTATTTTCTCTCGGGAAATGTAATTGGGTCAGCGCCATTGACCTTTGCGTATCTACCAATATCCTTTTTTCCCTTCCTTTTTCTGAACTGAAAATAAACCCTAATAGAGATTTTAACCCTTTCGTCATAAAAATGTTTTATTGTGAATTGGGTGAAGGTTTACAGAGCAAATCGGTTTTTCGTTCAGTAGTTCATCCACATTTTGTTTCATGTTGTTAATTGCCATTCCCACAATGCAACAGCACTAAGTCCACTCCCCCCCTTTCCCATGGTTCCTTCTTTAACCTTTTGTCCTTTTTAAAAATTGTAAATGTTTGTCCTAATAGAATGTTGTTTTGTGTTTAATTTCTGGCTATTCAATTGTCTAAGACCATTTAACATTCTTAAATAGTTCAGATCTCTCTGTTGTGATTTCTTCCCGAAGTAAAAACCCAAGCCCCCTGCTGGCAAGTCCATTCCCAATAGGACAGGAGAACTGCTCCATAGGACTAAATGTTTACAGCATCATCTTTCTCCTGTTGAGTGGGTTTGAACCAGCTAACCTGACTGTAAGCAACCAGTGCTTAACCCACCGAATCACCAATGCTTTTTCACCTGTTAGTCTGAGAAAACTCTCTCCTTGTCTTATTCCCAGGGCTTTAGTGCGAACTGAATTCTTCATCTCCCTGATTTCATGTTCTATACCTATCTCATAATCCATTTGTTGTGATGTAGATTGATTGGATTGGGTCGTTAACGTTTAAATTCATCAAGACTCTTCCTTTAGAGATATTAGAAGACATCAAGAGCTCGTGTGTGCTGCCAGAGGTCCCAGGCTCCTGGGGACGGAAGGTTGTAAGTAGAGCCCAAGGCACTGCGGCTGGACTGTGGTCTGGTGAAGCGGACAGGAACCGGAAGGAAGGGAAATGTCCCTGCTGTGTTTTACCTCTCTCTTTCTATTCATAAGCACTTCTGGTGTGTGTGTGTGTGTGTGTGTGTGTGTGTGTGTGTGTGTGTGTGTGTGATTCATTCACAAAGTGAATAATCACTTTGCCCCCAAGGTTCTCTTATCTTGCTGGGGTCCTTTTCCGGCTCAAAAACATGTGGGCTCTCAGCTGAACTATCATTTCACTTATCAAAAAGAGAACTGACGGAGCATCTGTTGTGTGTGGGGCGCTGTGCAAGCTACATTATGTGTAAGTTTGTGGGATACAAAGTCATAGCCACGGGCAACAAGAGCTGTGATGCCATGATGACATACATGGCGTGTGAATGACGACATGCATGGCGGGCGAGTGAGAAGCGTCATCCAGGTAGCAGCATACCGAGGGCACACTTGGCCGTGCTACCCTCGACTTGCCCCTGTGATTTGTGGCACTGTCGCTCCAAAGCACTACGTCTGTCCGTCTCTGTCCTGGTGAGGTTTGCACCTCCGCTTCGCGGTCGTGCACGGTCCCTGCTCAGAGGGACTTCTCGGCCTGCTTTCCTGCAGGAGACCAGGCAGCCAAGTTGACCCAAGCCACGTCTTCAAGCTTTTACAGGGGTCTAGCACGCGGAGCTGGGCGCACTGGGCTGGGCGTCCGAGCCCACCGGCCTGCTGCCCACGGAGCCTGAGAGCACTGGGAAAGCACGGCTGACCTTCGGGCCGGTCCCACGCGCCCCCCACCCCCTACCCCCCGGGTCGCGGTTCTCTCTTTCCTAGCGCTCGCAGCAGCCAGACCACAAACCCGGAACCGCTCGTTTTTTCTGGGTTGGACCACGTACAATCTTGTCCTGACTTGGCATTTTTAACCGGCAGACGGGCGGCGGGGGAAGCCCAGCGCACCTCGACCCCATTCGGGGCGGGGAACAGCCTGCCCCGTAGGCGGCACGCTGACCACGTTGAGCCTGGCGCTGAAAGAGGATCTGGTCCGGTTAACCTTCACATGGCCGCTCCAGATCCCCAAAGCTGTGGACAGTGACGTCCAGCGTGGTCGCTGTCACTGTTTCTCTCCGGACCACCTGGGAATTCACCGCCCGGTTCCCTCCCGCCGGCTCGGCGGGGCTAGTGCGACGGGGCGCCTCGGGAGCGCAGCCGCCGGGTGACGCCGGCCGTGCGCTCGCAGCCCCGCCACCTCTCGCCGGGAAGCCGCGGGCCGCGGAAGGAGTGAGAGCGGGGAGGGTAGCACCTCGGCCGCCAGGATGCCTGGAGGCTTCGGAGAAAGTCCCCCGAGTCCGTGACCCCGGGAGTGGGGGGCGGGGGGGAGGATGCTCGGGAAGATTCGACCATGGAACCAGGGGGAAAAAAGGCCACCCACGTGTGCCAGTCTCAACCCAAGTTCCCCGAGGTGGTCGAAGAGCCGCTGAGAAAGCGCTGCGCCTCGCGGACACCTTCCCAGCCCCCCAGCCCGGCGTCGCCTCCGGTGGGTGGGCTTCGCGTTCCCTCCGGGGTTTCGGGGCCAACACGTGACTTCCACGAAGCGCGGGGGCCCGGCGGAAAGCTGCTGCAGGGGTGGGATTTGGGACC